GAGTCACGGTCGAGGTGGACTTGGGCAGGGAGGGGGAGCCGGCGGGGCTGCAAAAGCTCAGCTTCTCGCGGAAGCTCGACCGCTCCGACTTTGTGCTTCTCGAGCTCGCCCTCCCGCTCGGCATGCTCATCGAGGAGACGGCGGACGGAGACATCGTCGTCAACGGGGCGATGCCGGGCTACAGCGCCGCCGGAGGGTGCCCAGAGAGAGGGGAGCAGCGCCCGCCTCGCACACGTCGCGCCTCCTCACACCTCCAGCCCCGCCACCACTCTCTTGACGCCTCCCGCCCGGAGCAGGTACGAGGAGCCAGACCGCGTGCTGCCGGGCGACATCGTGCGCGCCGTCACCGCGTACCGGCAGATCCTGGCGGGAGCACCAATGTGGCAGCAGGCGCCGCAACCACGCAACCGCCGCCCCCGGCCACCGACCCGCTGCCCACAGCGCCACTGCCCACTGCCCACAGCCGCTGCCCACAGCCCGCCGCCCACAGCCCGCCGCCCGCCGGCCCACCCCCCGACCCACTGCGCGCAGCTGGCCTCGTACACCCCCGTGGGCAAGCTCGAGACCAAGCGGCTCATCTTTCGGACCGAGGGCGCCACCTTTGCGGACGTGCGCGGCGCCATCGCCTCGCACCGCGAGGACGACGGCGGCAATGGAGTCGTGACGCTGGTGCTCGAGCGGGCGGTCAGCGCGAGCACGCCGCTCAACCAGACGCGCGACACCGAGCCGCCGAGGCTCGAGCCGCTCTCCGACGTCATCCTGCGCGACCTCAAGAAGAAGCGCGTGGAGGACGACCTGACCAAGCAGGTGGAGGGCATGTCCGCGGCGGAGCGCACACAGAGGCTGCTCGACCTCGGCTTCGACGTACCACCGCCGGACCCGGAGGAGTAGAAAGGCGGGTAGTCGTAGTGACTAGTAGTGAACTCTCGAGAGTACTAGGATGATGTCGTTTTGGCGGAGCGTGTGAGACGTTCGTCGTCTACGTCTCCCGTCCTTCGATGAGTTCAGAAGCGAGAAGAAAACCCGTCGTCCACCCAGCACTTTGGGGTGCAGTTGGTAAGGCGTAAGCGCACCGCCGCGCACGCCCAGAAAGGGGGTTGTCCCCAGACAAGGTTATGGGAGTGGCCATAACAGGTGTTATGGCTGTTATGGCTGGCTGCTCATAACACCCCATAACACCTCATAACACCTCATAACACCTCCATCGCTGTTATGGCTGTTATGCCCACCCTACCATAACACCTCATAACACCTCATAACACCTCATAACACCTCATAACACTCATAACACATCCCACTGGTTGTTATGACAGCCAGCATAACAACCTCATAACAGCTGTTATGTGTCAGGGATTTTTCTTTTGGACGCCGCGATAAACCCGGCAGGGTAAATTCTTCTTTTTGGAGCGCCCGCCCCGCGCCGCGTAGCTACTACCAGCCAACCATGGCCTACCGGATGAGGATGTTCATGAGCCAGAAGCCCTCGTCGGTTGACCTGCGCGTCTCCGACTTCAAGAGGGTTCCCGGCTTCAACTATGTGCTGTCTGTGTTGGCGGAGGACGAGCACACGTACGACTCGCTGTGCTCTGATATCCGAGAGGCGTGGTCCATCAACGCGTCAAACGGCCTGCAAATCTACGCGTTTCCCGAGGGAACGAAGGACGAGTCGGCGACGTTTGTCAACACGCCGAAGGTGTTTCAGAGCGTCATGTCCGTTTGGTGGTCCCGGCCATCCGACCTCGGCTCGGACATGTGGCTGGCCGTCGTCGAGATTCCGAGCAAGCAGCAGAACGCGCCCCTGTTCGGCACGTTGGAAGTGGCGGCTCCGCTGAGCGTGGCGCACTCAGCGGGTGAGCTCGCTCGTAAGCTCGCGCCCAAGGCGCCAGCGATGGGCGACGGCACAGGCTCAAAGGAGAAGCGCGACCGCGAGGCACCGGCCGAGAAGAAGAAGAAGAAGAAGAAGAAGGCCAAGGCGGCGACGGACGCGGCGCCCGGAGACGAGGACATGGAGGAGGACGAGGAGGAGCAAGGCAAGCTGCGCATGCAGCAGGTCGCCGCCGCGCAGACCATGCTCGACAAGCTGCATGCCAACACCAAAAAGATGCCGTACGTCCTCGCGTCGCAGGGCGAGGGCGACACTCGCCCGGACAACCGGCTCGTCCTCATCCACCAGGGCCAGAAGACCAAGCTCGAACTGCCTGGCGGCAAGACGCAGCCAAGCTACCTCGAGTTGACGCAGGCGCGTCCCTCTCCGCCCATGCCGTCACTCTCCCTCGCCCCTTTCTTCACCGTGGTCCCGCCCTGCAGGTCACTCCCGAGATGCTCGACAAGGACGGCAAGTTCAAGAAGGGGACGGTGTATGTGAGCTGCCGCTGGCCCGCGTGCGCGAAGGGCGATGGCTTCAGGGGCTACCCCAAAGCATGGCAAGTCAACGGCCGGCTGACTCTCGCCGCCTTCAAGACTAACCACACCGCGAGGCACTGCCCGGCGATGAAGATCCTCGAGAGCCTCTCCCCGGAGGAGCTGCGTCAGCTGGCGGAGGCGCCGCTCACCGAGAGCCTGGCCCTTGGCGCCGCGGCCGCGCAAAAGATCGCTGCGAAGGGGCAGGCGGAGGAGGCGGGCGGCGCGGCGGGCGGCGATGAGGCGAGCGGCGGCTCGATCATGTTCTGCTGCGCACTGATGAAGAGGTTGAGCACATCGTACATCTGCAGCACGCTTCCGTGCTCCACCGTGGGGAAGCTCCGCTGAATGGTTCTGTTGCTGAAGGTGCCAAAGTTGCGCCTCCGCACAAACTCGTGGGAGCTCGTGTGCGCCACCGATGCAATGCCGCCACCAGCCGCAGCCAAATCAGACGCATTGCCCTGCCCGTGCAGCAACGCGTTGGCGCCGCGGCCAAATCTTGAGACCAGAGTCTTTCCGAATTCGAGGAGCGTGTCGTACCGCGACGGGTCAGCTCTCGTTAGCTCTGATTCGAGCCCGAGCGCCTCTGCACAAAAGCGATCGACCGATTGATAGAGAACATGTCGCCGGTTGAGCGCGCCGGTCGAGAGGAGATGCTGAAACATCGCCGGGACCAGGTCCAGCTCGAATGGCAACCTCACACCGTCGAGCCCGGCCTGCTCAGCAGCCTGCTCTAACTCTGCCAGCTCACGTTCGATACGGGTCGGCCCGATCCGGAAAGGAGTGCAGGGCATCAGCAACGCGGAAAGCAGCAACATCCATCGATCGATCGATGAGTCATCCGGATGAGGAAGAGTTTTACAACTTACTCGCTCGCACGACTGGCACGGAGCTTTAACTACTAAAAAGCGCACTTGAAACCTCGAGAACGAAAAAAGGAAAGAAAAAGCTGAGCCCTGGTGTCGAGGTGTCGAGGCCCGGTGTCGAGGGTGTCGATCGAGGCCAGGGCTCAGAGAAAAAGGACGTGAGTTAATTAAATTGCGGGAAAGACAGACCTTAAGGTACATGTTAAAACGGAGGGGAGCGGCAGCAGCTGCAGAGAGTACGAGTTAGAAAGGGAAGCAAATTGCGTGAAGGGGGGGGGGAGGGGGCGGGGGGTCTTGATTGAGAAATCTGAAGCCATCGCTCAGCCTCAGTCAGGAGGCAGGTTGATGTTATTGAATTTAACTTAAGGGCAAAAGAGAAAATATTTGGCGGTCGATGCCGAACCTCGCGCGCGGCAGCGCGCGAAGCGAAAATTCCAGCGGCGAGCAGTTCGGTGTGGCCTCTCGGGCCATAACACCGTGGACCCGGGACGGCTCTCTCATAGCAGCCCATAACATGTTATGGGTGTTATGGGTGTTATGGGCCCCTATGCCCCGAGAGCCATAACACCATAACAATAACTGTGTCCGGGGACCAAGGGGGGCCGGGGAGCTCGTAAAAAGCAAAAAGGATAAATCAAAAAAGAATTCTATCATTGAGCCCCTCTCACAGCAGAATGGCTCGGACTGGCTCTACAAGAGGCACAGCAGGCGACGGCGGCCCCTTATCGGCCGTCGAAGAGGCCGGCGTACTCCTCCGGCCAAAAAAAAGAATTCGACGAGACCAAACCAAAATCCTGCTCGTGCAGGTGGGGACTGAAAGAAAGAAAGAAAACAGACAACCCAAGGGAGGGATGCAGGTGGGGACTGTCCTCTCTGAATAAAATATTTTGCTTCTTCTTCTGTGCTTTATTCTTCTAGCTGCCTTCAGCTGCCCATGCACACAAGTCTCTTGCCCACCCCAGCTGTCATGCTGCGCTCCGACGACGAAGCCGACGGCTGCGCGGACGATTTCTTCCGTGCCGGGCACCGGCCGATGTGCGAATGTGTGGCGCCGGCTCGGCACTGTTGGCGTGCAGCCTGCGTGCCGTCGCCCGTCTGTTGGGCCAACAGCTCCATCGTCTGCTCCTTCTTCTACCATTTCCACCACCCGCAAGGCACATCCTCGGGCGTGTTCTACGAGACGTCCCGCGAAAAGCACGCCGACAGCTGCCTCGAGGCCTACGTTCCTGCGAGCGGGTGCAACCCCTGGCCCGTCCACGCGTGCTGCCCGCTCTTCCAGTGCGACTGCTTCGCGTGCTGCTGCCGGCCGCCGCAGGACCGTTGTGCCGCGTGGACGTACGCCGCTCAGCACGTCCTCACGTCGGGCGCCGCAGACGCGCCTCGCCTCTGGCCGCTGCCGGGGCCGGGCGAGCCGCCCTCGCGAGGCTTCCTGCTTTGGCTGACGTCGCTCCTCAACGCCGGCTCGAGCATGCTCGCGTGCCGCGCGCCGCTCGAGTGCTGCGTCCGGCTCGCCGTAGCGCCGCACGTCTCGCTCGCCGCCGCCTCGCCCGCGTGCGGCCTTCCCTCGGCCGCCTCGGCCGACCACCACGCCGACTTTGGAGGGATGTGGGCGTACCCCCGCGGCGGCGCGCTGCCAACCCCTCCGCTCGCCGAAGACGCGGCCGGCCGCCCGCTGCCGTCCAACGTGCCGCCGGGCCCGGCGGGTTCGCGGGTGGTCATGCTCATCGGCGGCGGTCCGGGCCTCTCCTCCCAAGCCTACTCCGTTGGCGCGGGCCTCCTGCTCGCCGAGCGCACCGGACAGGTCGTCCTCCTGCCCGCCTTCCCGAGCGCGGCGGACGCCCCCTTCCCCGCCGCCCTCGACTCGCTCAGCCGCAGCTACCGGCGGCTCTGCCGGTGGTACGGCGCCGCCAACGTCCTCATCGTGGCAGACTCGCTCGGCTGCAGCCACGCCCTCGCCCTGCTGCTCCGCGCCGCAGAACGAGGGCTGCCCAAGCCGGCCGCCCTCGCCCTTCTCTCGCCTTGGCTCGACTGCCGCGTCGGCGCCGCGGCGCGCGGCGGGCTTTCCTCGGAGGAGCTCAACGCCGCCCGGCTGGGAGGCTTCCTCCGCTACGGCAGGCAGGACTACCTCCCCGCCGAGACGATCGACCAGGTCAACGCGGCTCACGCCACCGCGGAGCAGGCTGCTGCAGACCCGCTCGCCAACCCGGCTCTCGCGACGGCAGAGGCGCTGCGCGGCGCCCTCCCTTCCACCTACGTCACCTACGGCGGCGACGAGGTGCTGCGCTCGCAGGCCGAGGCGCTGGTGGCGCGGCTGGAGGCGGCGGGGAGGGCCGGGCCGAACAGCGTGCACGTCGCCGAGGGCATGCCACACGACTACCTCTACCTTGGCGTCCTCGCCGTGTCGGCTTGGGGTTGCTGCGGCGGGGCGGAGGCGGGGGGAGGGGCCTTCCAGCCAAACAAAGGGCTGGACGCACTGCTCGCGTGGCTCGCTTCGATCGACGGCGGGGCGTGGGTGGCGCCCTCGTCGGGGGGTGAGGCGAGGCGTGCCGCTCTGGGCTCTTTACCAGCGGTAAATTGACAACGTCGACCTCAGGTCAACTTACAGCTGGGCGCGCGCACAATTCTTTTTGACGGTGTACCTGTGTCCTGTGCTAGTGCCAGTGCGCGTACGCCAGTCCCGTAAAGAAAGAAAGAAAAATACAATCCAAACGAGGGATAGGGGAGGAGGACAGGGTCCCCACCTGCACGAGCAGGATTTTGGAAGCGCCAGTCGCGCTCCCGTGCCCAGTGTCGTGCGCAGCTGCAAATTCTTCGAGAGCGCCGTCGGCGGCATGAAAATTCTTTTGCCCTTCTTTGCCGCCGTTTTGCATGGCGGCGGAGCCCAGGGTGCTGCCGCTGCGCGCGCCGAGTGGCGAGATCCAGTGGACCATCGTGGAGCTGCAGGGCACGCTCGAGGCGAAGGCCGCCTCCCTCGACGGTTTCCACCTCGGCGACCTCTTTGAGCGGCGGGTGAGCGTCCCGAGCCGGCCGCCGAGGCCGCGCCGCCTCCCCGCTCCTCCACGGTTGCTGACGGATCCCCCGCTCGCAGGGCGCTGTGTGGCTCCGGATCGGCAAGGGCGAAATGCCGGGAGAGAGGGTTCGGCTAAAGAAGCCGCTCGCCATCATGTCCAAGGTGCGGCCCGATGGGGACGTGCCGAGCCCGGGGGGCTCGCCGCCGGCGTGCGAGTACCATGCGGTCGGCGTCGTCCGAGAGAAGCTCGTCTTCAACACGCGGCCGACCCCGATCTCGCGCCTGGCAGCGCAGCAGCAGCAGCAGCAGCAGCAGCAACAACAAGCCGCTGCGACCAAACGCCTGCGATCATGAAGAAGCTGCATCCAGTAGTACGTTGTGGTTGCGTGCGCCACCATATGCCCGCGAAATCTTTGACGTGCCCTTGACTGTCTCGAGGTGATGTGTCTCGCTCGCCCTCTCTTTTTCCCTCTTCCCCTCCACCCTCTTCGTCTTTCTCGTTTCTGTTTCTCCACCACGTGGGCACGTGCCGCGTGCCGCGGGGGGCGCGGCGGGCGGGGGGGGGTGCGGTGGGTCTCTGCTCGTCTCTCACTGACGGTGTGTCTCGATAAGAGCCGTAGCTCGCATCAGTGTATTAGAGCCCACTGTGTACCTCACCCGCGGCCGCGACGTCTCAAGGACCGCGGGGCGCGGGGGGGAGCGAAGCCGACAGAGACTAGAGAGGAGAGACTGACGCCCAGACACACACACACGGTGATTCTCACACGACACCGACACGCACGCACGCGCCCGCACGGACGGAGCGGGCCGGCAGGACTCAGAGACCTCGCCGGTCCCTTTCCGCCCCTCCCGCGGCCTCCATGACCGACCGATCCTCCGGCGCCAGAGGGCTGGGAGGGTGGTGAGGGTGGGGCCCCGGCCTCCCTCTGTGGCTGTGGGTCGAGTTTGCCCGGCCCTGCCTCTGCCGCATCGCCTTGAGCTTCTCTCGGTGCGGGTGCGGCGGCGGGTGCGCCAGAGGAGCGGCGGACACGCCCACCGCCGTCGAGCCCGCCTGCGGCTGCCGCCCCGCCACGAACGCCGTGCCCGCGCCCCCCAGCAGCAGCACAGCGCTGCCGACGGCGGCGGTGCGGCGCGCGGCAGGCGACTGGAGGGCGGAATGCAGCCAAATGTCGGTGCCGTCTGGCCGCGGCGGCGCCTGCTTATAGGCGGTCGCGCCGGCAAGGCAGACGAGCAGGCAAGCGATGCCGACGGGAGAGGCGTGCCTGCAACCGTTGGCCGACAGGTTGGTCTTCGATGCCCCGCGCCGAAGCGATGCCCGGGCGAGGCGATGCTGGAGCACGCTCGGCGCATCTCGGCGCATCTCGGCTAGTCTCGCGCTTGTCCCACAGCAGCAAGTTTGCGAGCACGGTCAGCATCTTGTTTGCGACGCCGAGCACCTCCGCCGAGAGGAGTCGAGATGAGCCGAGATTGGCCGAGAGAAGAGCCTCTCGCCTGCGGGCGGAGCACCGTGTAGCAAGTGGCGGTAACGAGCGAGCGGCAGTACCAGCCGAAGAAGGAGATGGCGGTGCCTGTGGGACGTGTCGCGGACGTGTCACGGGTGTGCGGTGCGGGACGGTCCTCACGAGCCAGGGAGGAGGAGAGTGGCGCCGATGATGCACGAGACGGCGAGGAGGAGCAGGGTGCTGCCTGTTCAGAAGCGCGGCGGTGGAGAGGCTGTCTGCACGCGAGGGGCGAGGGGGCAGGAGGAGGAGGCGGGTGCCGCTCCAGACGGCGCTGTCTGCACGCGACGCCTCGCTCGAGAGGAGACCTACGCAACCACCCGCCTGGCTTCCTCTCACGCTCAGAGGGGGGGGGACGGGGCGGCCGCAATGGCGAGCGCCCACGGCGAGCATCGGCAGCACGGCGAGCGCGTTTGTATATATTGTCGGCCCCCAGAGTGACTTGAACTTGAGGTGCGGGCCCACGATGTGCTTGCCTGGGGAGGGAGAGGGGTCGCGAGGCGCGAGGGAGGCGCGAGGGAGGCGCGGCGGTGTTGGGTCGAGGAGAGGTGGTACCGTAGGCCATCTCGACCGAGATGATGAAGAAGTAGGCGGTCGCCCACGAGTACGCGTTCCACCCGTTGAGCTTGAAGGCCGCGTCGGAGAGGACGTACCCCGCCGCGCCGGCGACCAGGACGAGCAGCGCGCCGGTCGACGCCGGCGAGGGCAGCTGGCGGCCGAGGAAGAGGTAGTCGAGCTGCGAGACGACGAGGGGGACGCAGGAGCGGAAGACTATGATCGTCTCGATGTTCGAGTACTGCAGCGCCTGTGGCGCGAGGGGAGCATGTGAGCGGCTGTGTGGGCTGGGCCCTGCTCGGGCGGCGGCGGCCTTCATGTTGCAATAGATGGTGCACACAAACATGATGGTGTAGTAGAGGTAAGGCTTGACCTTCTCCCACTCGAAGCCGTCCACCTCGGCCGCTCCGGTGATTCGCAGCCCCAGTATGAAGATGGTGCACACAGCAAACTGTGCGGTCGAGACAAACGACGGCATTGGTATGTAGTGGATGACGAGCTTGTTGATGAGAAGCAGAGAGCTTGAGCAAGCCGAGAAGGCGAGCATCGCGAACATCGCTTCGGCCGAGTGGCCCTCCTCCTTTGGCATCGTCGTTCGAGTGAGTCAACGAGGCGCGCTTACCGCGCTCTTACCTCGGCGGCCGGCAAAAAAGATTTTCGCGCGGCGGGAGGCCATTCCTCCCTTGGGTTGTCTAAATCCCTGTGTGGTGGCGGCGTGCCGTCCTCCCATCCCTCCCTTGGGTTGTCTGTTTTCTTTCTTTCCTTTCTTTCCTTGGGTTGTCTGTTTTCTTTCTTTCTTTCTTCGGCCTCCCTTGGGTTGTCTGTTTTCTTTCTTTCTTTCTTTTAGAAGCGACAAGAGAGAGAACGACGAGAGTGGGGACGACCGCGCGGGGTTGCATGAAGGTTGCAGCGAGAATCGGCGAGAGACTGCGAAGAGAGATAGGAAGAGGACGGAGGCGGACGCCCAAGCAAGGGTGGGCGACGGCTAGCGCATCACACCCCTCTCGCGTCTCGGCCTCTCCTTAAAATCCCTGTGTAGTGGCGGCGTGCCGTCCTCCCATCCCTCCCTTGGGTTGTCTGTGTTCTTTCTTTCTTTCTTTATAACCTCAGATAAGCCTAGATGTTAAAAGCCTGTATCTCCCGGTCCGGAGAGAGAGAGAGAGAGAGAGTTTGTGTTGTGCTGTTGTGTCCGGTGCGCCGCCGCGGTGGTCCGTGCAGAGAGAGATGTTTTTTTCCGTGCACTATATGAGTTTTAAGATATGAGGATTGCAAGGTACGGATGGTAGGCGATTCGACACTTCAAGGCGAACTCCCCCCCCTTCCAGGCCCCGGGCCCTCCATTGGTAGGTAGCGACCCCAGGAGCTAGGCTTCCCGACAGGGCAGGGAACCCCCAGCGCGCAGGCGGGGCCCACGGTAGCCTCGTCCCTCGTGCAGTACGCGATACCGAGAGCTGGGGGAGAGGCGCGCCACGCCAAAGGGGTGCCCAAAAAGGGGTACGGGGAAGGGGGGGGAGAGTAGCGTGTTTTTCGCCAAAACGCAAAAAGAAATCCGGGTGTACGTGTATAGTGGCCAGTGCGCAGTGGTAGACGCGTAGACCGTAGTAGTGCCGGGGATCTCAGAGTTCAGAGTTCTAACAGTTCCTAAAGTGTACACAACGAGACGCCGCGTCGCGCGTGCAAAAGATGTTTTCTTTCTTTAAAGAAGGGAAGGCCCCTGCAAGGACCCGGTGCAGCCCGGTGCGCGTCCCGAACCCGCTTATGATCGACGCTTCCCCGCGAGTGTGTGCGTGTCGCCCCCGCGCCG